TTTACGTTACGTTACGTTACGTTACGTTACGTTACGTTACTTACGTTACGTTACGTTACGTACGTACGTTACGTAGTACGTACGTCGTACGTCGTACTACTCTCTCTCTCTCTCTCTCTCTCTCTCTCTCTCTCTCTCTCTCTCTCTCTCTCTCTCTCTTCTCTCTCTCTCTCTCTCTCTCTCTTTCTCTCTCTCTCTCTCTCTCTCTAAAGCTCAATTGAGATTCCTGTGCATCTGTGTGGTTTATCTTAGGTCCATTTTCCAAGAAATCCTTCCTATTGTGTCAGTGAAAAATGTTACTAGTAACACAAAGTCTGTGTCAATTTCAATTTTTCATTCATTGAATTGCTCGTAGTGTATTCCAATGTGTTATGTTGCTTTATTTATATAGGATTCATTTACTCGAGCAAAGAAATGGGTTGAGGAACTTCGACAACATGGTATCTACCACCATATTTTTATTCTTCAATATAGACCAGTAATGGATTTTGACTTTCATCATGAGATGTACTCCACAATGAACCTTCCATCTCTTGGCCTTGTGGTCTTATAGGTTATCATTAAGACCCAACGTTTTTGCTTTTGTTTCACTTTCTTGATTATAAATTTGTCTACCTCATTTGTTTATTTGATGTATCTAATTTGAAGTGCACGCAGAAACTTATATTCACAATTACCCCTACCTTTTCCATATATTTCATTGAGTTCCTTCTTTATTAGGAAATCCAAACATGGTAATCGCACTCGCAGGGAATAAGGCTGATTTGGTGGATAATAAACAGGTTGAAGCTGAGGTATTCCTTTCTTCACTCCCATTCATAGGTTCTCCATATCAAACTATGGTTGATTTCTATATATGGTCTGCAAGTAGCATTAGCGAAATTGTTGATTTTGTTCAGTAAAATATTTGAAGGATTTTATGAAATGGCACAGTTGGTATATTAGAATATTCTTATGTTTTTCATTTTTATATGGTAGATGGTCTGGGATTGTCTACTCTCTGTATTTTCTTGAGCTTTTAATATCAATGGTCTAGTTTATGAAGAGGCATGAGTCTAATTTTTTTATTTTTTTATTTTAATTTACCTTGCAAATAAGGGAAAATATGGAAATATCTTAGGATTTGCTAATCATATGCAATGGCAATGATGTAACGTAGCAAAAAGAATCTTTTGCTTGGTACTATTTTTGTTTTACATTGTAAGGGAACCAAATTGTGGCTGAGCCACTGAGTCATGGTCTAATCACAGATAAGGATGGGACCCTACCTAGATGCATCCTCCATCTGCAAATCCAGGCTAATGTATAGATTTCCTTTCTTATTGATAACTGAAACATCACAAAAAGGGTGAGAAAAAACGTATACATAATCTAAGGAACCAGAACTGCTACTGCACCAATTAACACAGTACACGCGCTGATAGCGATGGGGTCCTACCTCAGAGAATCATATACTTCAACAAAAAAGGGAATATCCATAGCAAAACTCTCTCCCTCTATCTCTGCTTCAGTCATTCAAGCACCAGGACACATGTGCTTCTCAACTCTTACTACCCTGCTATCCATGTATACCTGGGAGCCTGTCACTTGGGCTTCACTGTCTAGATTGCCTCTGTTATGTTGAGGAAGATGAACCAAGTCTCATTTTCATTTTTGGGGGGCACAGTTGTGACAGAATACTTTAATGGTATTGGTTCTCTCTCCAGATTGATATTATTTGTTGTCTTTAAAATCTCTCTCTCTCTCTCT